CACTACATGGACGAGTGTCACCTCTGCCTTCGCTGTGCGCTGCCTGAAGTCATCTTCAACCAATTCAATTGAGAACATGAAGCAGGTGCCTCTCATCAATACACCACTGCCAAACTCAACACCATCATTTGGCACGTTTTCACACTTCCACCACTGTTGACCTTGCTCTCTAGTATAGACTGGGACACCATCAAGCACACTAAGCTCGCCACATACAATGACTGCCAGCATTACCAAGCACAGTGAGATCAAGCCCATGCTAGACAAAACATGCATGCTAGTGCCTTCTCTAGCTGCTCTCTAGCGGACCGCATCACTGTTGCTCCCACCTACACTCTCATTGCTCCAAAGCTAGTAACCATAAACTTCTCTGAGCACACAGCCACTGATCTCGCCCACATCTTTGTGCTAAAGTTTGCCACCACGCTCAAGTGATTCAATGTCCTAGAAACACTCGACTTTTCAAACGTCCTCGAAGATGACATCAACACTGTCTTCATGTTCAGAGATTGCCTTGCTCATCTCAATTGCACCATCAAGGATGTTGCTCACATCATTAGCATCAAAGAGTGGAACTGTTGGAATTCAGGACTGAAGGAAATTGGCGGAATTTCATTTCAAGGGCTTTGGTGCACCTGAGTCCGAGTTTTTGAAGTGCTTCGCGTGGCTTGAAACCATGGTTACTTTGAATAGAATAGTAGAACTGGACGAGTACATACTCTTCAAATATATAAACTATGACAAGGAAAGAATCATTAATCTGTATATACTAGATTACATGCTTGATCACCTTGTCAAGCTTGAATTAGTACAATTATTCTAAAAGCTCTCTTTTTACTCTCTATAAACCCATTTTCCATACTCTTGAATAAATCGGACACAGTGGCAGATACCCATCTAGCGTGTGCTGTGCTATCCCACACTTATCACTTTCAAGAGGCCCAGAACTATTACATTGACAACAGAGGAGATTTAAACACTTACACAAACTACTTCTGTCCAAATCATTACTACAAGCATTCCACAGTGCCCGTTACAACTGAAGATCTACTATACCTGTTCATAAACAGAGAACAAAAGTGAGAGATCTGCAATCAGCACAAACTGGATGAACATGTCACTAATCACAGCAAACTTACCCTTGACAACCTCAGCCCACCAACTAGCAAGATGAACAGACCTGCTAATAGATCTCTGGGCTGGAACACTCTGACAAATCCCCCAGCTGACCCTGCTGCACTGGTTTATCAGGCTACTATGCAAGATGTAATGGATCTCATATTTACACTCATTTAGAATGTAAACAACCTTACAACAAATGTGAACCAGTTTATTGCAAATGCACATCTGGCTGTAATCACATCAGTTTCCACCTCTTGATATCAATCTATTGTCAAAAAACCAACTACATTTGACAGTAAATTGTCAAAAAAGCCAGACTCTTCTCTAGTACCTTCTGCATCTATATTAGGGCTAATAAAAAAATGTTTGTGCAACGTGATGCCAATGACACCATCCACTACAATGCAAACGGTAACTGGTTAATGGACACAAGTAAAATGATCAGCTCCATCTTTTGGTTCATGACAGAAGACACTGTGGTCTGGGCTCACCTGCACATCAAGGAACTTGCTGAAGAATGAACACCGTTTAACTCCTCCTGAACAAAATTTGCCAAACAGTTCTCAGCTAAATTTGAGCTGGTGAATGCTAAAAACAAGGCCAAGCAAAAGCTCATGTCAATCAAACAGAGCAACTGGACATTTGCGGATTACCTCTCGGAGTTCAAAACCTGGTCTCACCATACTGACTGGTCTAAGGCCAATCTGTATGATTATCTCAAATATGGTATGAACTCTGACTATATCAATCAGTTATCCTACTTCCCTATCCTGGCCATGGACTATGCAACGGTCAAGATACATGGAGCAATGATTGATCTGCAGAAAGCAGACTTGGTGGCCAATCAAGGCAAACTAGTCTCACAATCTCAGCCATCATTGTCCCATTTCTCCAGCTTTCACAACCCAAATGCAATGGACATCGACACTGCTCTTTCTGCTGACATCTTTGCATCTTGCTTCAACAACCTCTTTGATGGTTTTAAAAACCCAACAGAAATTAAAAGGTGGTTCCACAAGTTAATGGTCAGTCACTGCCACATCTGTGGGTCCAAAGGTCACAAAGCAAAAAGTTCACACGAGAACACCAAGTGTCAGCACTGTGATAAAACCAGTCACTGGAAAAAGCTCTGCTTCTCTTGTCTCGCTGGACAGCCCGCTAAGTCACAGTCAGTCAGGGCTACTTCGTCAACTAGCCCCTCATTATCTGCATCCATCTCTGCTTTCCAGGATTTAGTGGCCAATGTCACTGGTCTTAAGGACATGATTGTTCTCATGCAAAAACAGCAAGCCGAGCTAATGGCAAAAATCAGCCAGAGTTTTTAGCAAAGGCCCAGACTAGAGCTGCAGCTCTGGAGCACAGTTTAGATGAGTGGCCTTCAACAGTGCCAGCTCCTATATATTCAGACTCTGATCTCTTGGACTATATCTTGTTGCATACGGTATCATCCACAGATCATCTCTTATTGCACTTTCATATTTTTGTAACAATATCTGGAATAAATAAGTCTTTATGCACCCTTACTATGGTTGACTCTGGTACCACCGGCCATTTTCTACATGAAAAGTTCACACACAAAAATAACATTTACAAACAACCACTCAAACAACAGATCGGCCTCCAAAACATTGGTGGCTCAACTAAAAGCGCCAGTGCTATCACACACGATGCTAAACTCAGAGTTAAAATCAGATCACGAGTTTCTGAAGAATACAACTTCTTTATCACAGATATTGGCCCCGAGAACATTATTCTCTGACTACCATGGTTAAAAAAAGTCAATCCCACCATAGACTGGGAGACAGATGAAATGGTGCTTCCTGACAGCTCAAAAGCATCATCTGATCTTCCTGCATCACTACATTTTACTAAAGTCAAAGCTAATCAAGCAAAGCACCGGGCCTGGATAAAAGCCAGCTTGCTCGACAACACCACAAACAAAGTCTATTGTTTAGCTGGCTACACCTATTCACAAAAGATCACAGTTGAGCAGAATAAAGAAAAGTACTCGAAAACTTTCAAATGGCTTGTTCCAAAAGAATACCATCAGCATGCCCATGTCTTCTTCAAAACTGACTCAACAAAGCTTCCTGAACATGACCACACTATCAACCTCAAATCAGACACCCCTTCAATGATCTGCTCTAAGGTCTACCCAATGAGTCCTGCCAAAAACCAGGAATTGCAAGCTTTTCTTGATGACACAATCAAGAAAGGCTATATCATCTCTAGCAAATTGCCTATTGCTTCACCTGTCTTCTTTATCAAGAGAAAAGATGGCAAGCTTAGGCTCATCTAGAACTACCGCAAGCTCAACAACACGACCATTCAGAATAGATATCTGCTACCCCTCATTAATGACATCATCAACAAGCTACAGGGTGCAAAAATCTTCTCTAAGTTTGACATCTGATAGAGCTACACCAATGTCTGGATAAAAGCTGGAGACAAATGGAAAGCCACCTTCATCATCAATCGAGGGCTCTTTAAACCCCAAGTCATGTACTTCAGACTGACCAATGTACCAGCAACCTTCCAAGCTCTCATGGACACTATCTTCACTGATCTAATTGCCAAAGGCAAAGTTGCAGTATATCTAGACAACATACTCATCTGGTCATCAGATCTTGCATCACACCAAAAGATAGTACATAAAGTACTAGAGTGTCTCAAAGAATATGATCTCTATTTATGTCCAGAAAAGTGTGAATTTGAAAAAGATCAGATCAAATACCTTAGCCTCCTCATTAGTGAAGAATTGGTTAGCATGGACTCTGGCAAAGTTAAAGCAGTTACAGAATGGCCTACACCTGCAAACTTGAAAGATGTTAGAGGTTTCATCAGGTTCTCCAATTTCTACCACTAGTTTATCAAGAACTTCTCTATGATTGCTTGCCCACTGCACGACCTCACAAAGAAGGATGTCCCCTTCATGTGGAGCTCTGCACAACAATAGGCTTTCGACACATTGAAGTCCAAGTTTATGACTGAACTAGTCCTCACATTTTGGCATGCAGACCAGAATACACGTGTACAAGTTGACGCTTCTGGCTATGCCACTGGAGATGAAATCAGCCAGCTCAATCCAAACAATATTTTATGGCACCCAATCACCTTTCAATTACAGACCATGAACGCTGCCAAGTGTAACTACAAAATCTACAATTGTGAGCTCATGGCTATCATTGAAGCCCTTCAGGACTGGCGTCATTTTTTTGAAGGATTACCCAAGCTGTTCGAGATCTGGACCAATCATACCAACCTCTAATACTGGTGCACAGCACAGTGACTTACACACCAACAAGCACAATGGGCTCTTGAACTTACCGATTACAACTTTGTGCTTACTTATAAGCCTGGAAAAACCCACCTCGTAGCAGATCCACTCTCTTGTCTCAGCTCTCAGTATATTTCTGATGGCATAGACAATCAAATGCAAGTCGTGCTGCCCAGTAACAAGTTTGTGAATGCTACATCTGGCTAAGATCTCAGTCCAGAACACTTCACATGATTGGCTGCCACAGCATTCATTACAGACTTTCCACTGGGATAGGAAGTTCGCAATGTCACTTCTCTAGACAATGAGGTTTCCACTACACTCTCCAGTCTTTAAGCAAAAGGGCCCTACAAGCTAGTCAGCAAGCTTACTGAATGGGAAGAAAACAACAGTCTCATCTACTACAAGGGCAAACTCTACATACCAAACAATGTCACCCTTTGTAATAGAATTATCAAGTCATGTCACAACACCCCTACTACTGAACACCCAGGAAAACACAGAACTATTGAACTTGTGGTTGTTGGCTATCACTGGGCCAATTCTTCTAATAGACATTTAGAATTTAAATTTAAAACTGGAAAAATCCACTTTTGTACTCACTTTAATAGAAAAAAGCCTCAATCAGAAAATGACCCCTAAATATGATGGACTTTACCAAGTTATACAACAAAGGCAAGGAGGTTCCTATTTTTTAGCTGAACTAGATGGGACCTCTCGTAAGCAGGCTATTGCAGCTTTTCATATAGTTCCTTACATTTTTAAGAGTAATGTGCAGCTGAAGAAATTGGAATTATAAAAGATAGTACTATGCGGCAATATAGGAACAAGCATCAAAACTACTCCTCTTTAATCTTGTTAAAACCAGTCAAGCAATCACAGATACAAAGCCTATAATGCCCACAGTCTGTGCAAAAGCCCAGAGTGTCCCACTCTTGTATAGCCTCAGACGGAGGCTTAATAACGGCTTTACTAAAGTAGCACAAGTTGTCTATAATCTGGATTAGTATCTCCTTCAAATCTAAGAACATTATCTCACCATTCTCAAGACCAACAAGGCAGGCAAGGCATCTGCATTGAAGGAAGCGTGCCTTCTCAGGAAAAGTGAGAAAGAAGTGCAGCCATGGTGCTGGAAACATGCAGCATGCAGGATCTAAAATAAAGTCAGAAGATAAAAAAATAAGATAACCAACATAAAAACGTACCAAACAGAGGAAGCATCACAAGACTCATGCAAGAAGTAATTGTGCAAATGTGTTCCACAATAGATTCATTGAGCATATTGTACAAGACATGCAGAAGGAGATGGCAGACATCTGACTCCTTAGGACTGAAGCAGGTATGAATGCCCAGCCAGGTAATGTAATGTGTAGCATCTCATTCTCTCAAATCCTCCACCAATCCAAAAATCCCTATAACCCACAGCATTCTATGATAAAACAGAGAGACAATTTGGCCTCCAAATAACAAATGGCCAGTAAGAGAAACTAAGCAAGTTTCTAAAGAATCAAAAAAGCCTCGAGGAGTAAGAGGAATGGAGACCAGTAAAAATTGGTCAAGTGCTAAAAGCGAAGTTGATTGGAATTGAAAAAATAGGACTACAGGCATACAACTAGAATTGGACAGAAGACTAATAGGCAGCTGAGAAAATGGCTCAAAACTGGCACTAGAGCTGGGAATAGAAGAAGAAGGCTTAGTTTCAGCCGAGATGGTGTGTAGAAGAAGAAAAGGAATTGGGGGGGGTTTCAACATACAACAGCATAGAATATAAGCACTAACAGTCACAACCATTTTTGGCCTAGCACCAACATGCTACAGATCAAGAAGCTAGAATGTCATCTAATTCTCACACTGTCATTGGCAAATCACTAAGTGGCAGAAATTAAGGTCCATTGAAAATTGGACTACAGTGGACTCTGGCCAGGCCCTGGAAAAATGATAGTTGCCTTATTAAAAATCAGAACCCCATTCACAAGTTTCAGCATTCTTTGCCCTATCATCCAAGCTCACTCACAATGTTTAGTTCACTTACCAATCTCTGAACTAACAAGCCAGTCGACTTGCATGTACACAACAGCATGGGAAACACTTTTTACATTAACTACTATTCTCTGGTGGATTTACCCTACAAAAACTATCTGCACCTCATTGGCATCTACAGTGACGATCTAAAGTATTGCAACAGACTACAGAGAGGTGTTAAGATTTCTCAATATCTCCGTGAATATTACAGATGGCTGGACACATTGTATATGGTTTTTAAACTGGACAACTAGCTGTATTTTTTCAAGATATCGCTTTGTAGCAGAAGATGTATGCTGGAAGAGTATGTCAAAAATAGCTGAAAATATGCATATTTATCATATAATTTCTAGTATAATACAGACTGTAGAATGAAATTGACTCTGCACATATTAAAATGGAGCTAGTTGTATAGTATGTGTACAAATATAATGATGTGATTATGCATCTATTTGAATGAACTGTAGGGCATATCACATTGGCTTGTTTCTCTTATAGCAGTTTGCACATATCTAACTCCACAATGTGGGGAGGAAAGTTTCCCAAAATCTGTTTACAGTATGTACTTTACTAAAAGAAAGATATAGTAGCAAAATATAAGAACTTCAGCATCTGATTATGTTTGAAGCATATGAGTATACACTGTTGCATGTTGCAATAAATGTGATATGCTCTACAGTTCATTCAAATGGAGGCATAATCACATCATTATATTTGTACACATACTATACAACTAGCTCCATTTTAATATGTGCAGAGTCAATTTCATTCTACAGTCTGTATTATACTAGAAATTATATGATAAATATGCATATTTTCAGCTATTTTTGACATACTCTTCCAGCATACATCTTCTGCTACAAAGCGATATCTTGAAAAAATACAGCTAGTTGTCCAGTTTAAAAACCATATACAATGTGTCCAGCCATCTGTAATATTCACGGAGATATTGAGAAATCTTAACACCTCTCTGTAGTCTGTTGCAATACTTTAGGTTGTCACTGTACCACAACATTGCAGCTACTTTCAGTCACATTTGTAAATTCCAGAACACCCAGTATATTGCTCAGTATAGTATCTGCAACCAATTCAATGGTGAGGGGCTATTCCTTGCTTTGGATTATTGCATCGCACTCTTTACCTAAATGCAATCACTTCAGTATTGCTGGGCAAGAACACAAAGGAGTAGTATGATGTTAGGACTGGTGGGCTATAGAGTGATCCAGTGAGTGCCAATAATCATATCAAATACAATAGAGCATAATAACCTCTATAGCAAAAGTTTACCCTGTCATCAGCATGACTACAATGGCCAAGCAGCAGTAGGCAGCAGTCATCTTCAGAGAAGCTGTTTGAAATAATTTGTGTGTATGCAGACCAGTCTATTCTTTGTAAACAAGTTACCTTTACTTACAAGAAGGTATCACAGAGACACAGAAACAAGTTTTCTTACTTTTTTTAAACATCTTTGAATGTACTTTCTAAACAAGAAGTTATATGACATAACTGGCAGTATTGAGCTAAAGACAAATCTGAGACAAGTGAGGGCAGTTGTAATTACAAGTGGCCTCCAGACGTCATGCATCATAACTATCAGTATAGAAAAACTGAAGGAATAAGCTGGGTATTCAAATCAAAAAGATACTGCTCATTAAGAGCTGCAAAGCAAGCAAAAACACTCAAGCTTACTAAAAGTGAATCAACAACTAATAATATAATTCAGCTTCTTAGTAATCTAAACTATGCTTAGTAATAAAGGTCTATGCTCAATAGCTGTGAATTACCAAAATATAGTAATACTCTAACAAATATTAGCAATAGCTTACCAATACATTAGTAAAACAGACAAAAGGCTGACTAATACAGACAAATGCTTATTAATAAAAGTAGAAGTAGCTTAGAAATTACAGTAGAATAGAAGAGCCAGTTTTGCTATTGGCTAAGGAACAACAGGTTGGAAGGTATAAATAGGAGAGGTTTTCTGAAAGCAAAAAAAAGGACACCAACTCACCAAACACTACACAGGCACTCAAGAATTTAGCTAGCAGCAAACCTGCAATCAATCCCCTGAGCTCTTTAGCTCTTAAAAAATAGACTCCTTTCTTTAAAGCCTAGGAAATTTTTTAAGCACAGTAGAGCCTCTGACTTTCAAATAACCTGAAGGGAAATGCCCTTGGTATAGTGCACAAGTTTACTATTTGGCTACCCTAGACTGTGTGAGCTAGTGGTGTCATTATTTG